TACAAGGTGCTGGGCCACTTCTGAAGGGTCCAAACCTGAATATGATGTAGACTCCGCCTTCTCTCAGCTTACAGAGGAGAGGGAAAGAGAAAACAGGCCCTCAAGTTCTTAGACCACAGGGGTAACGTGTGGCCTTGGAGGAGCACCACCGGGGAGGTGAGAGCAGGGCTCCTGGGCTTCCTTCACTGCAGCACCTCAGGCAACCTTCTGAGCGTGCAACTGTCCAGAGGCTGCACATACGGCTGACATGTGGCGGGCGGCTCCCAGCCTCTCTCTGGGGTCTCTCAGTCACATTTGCCCAGCCTGGGCTCCCATCCTGTTCCATGGTAGGGCCCCCAAGGACAGCACCAGCATCACTGGCAGGGGTGACCCTGAGCATTCATGTTGGTAGATGGGCATCACGAGACTGCTGTGCTGGCCCAGAGGAGGTGAAGGGGGGTCCCCAAGCCAGAGAGACCACCACCCAAAAGGTCTCACTGGATCCTGCATAGTCATCACTTCTGTCTTCCAAATAAATTTGTATCTACCAGCATGCAAACTGGTACGACCACTTTGGAAAACCATTTGACAATATCTACTAAAGCTAAACTCATGTATCCCCTGTGACCCAGCAGTTCCACTCCTGGTTGCCCAGTGGAAATAAGTGCTGTGTCCACCATAAGACACACAGAAAACTAGTGGCTACTGTGGGATGGGTATTGACTGGGAGGGACAGAGGAGTCTCTGGGTTCTGGAAATAGTCCTTACCTTGGTCTGGGTGGTCGTTATGTGGACTATGTAAAAGTTCATCATGCTGTATATTTGGGATATGTGAAGTTCACTATTTTTAAGCAATATTGCAAAAGAAAAATAAAGTTAAAAAAATTTAATTTCACAGAGACTACAATCAGTTCAACTTCTCTAGGCCTCTAGGTAAGAAGTGGGGGAAAGAGTACAATTAAGTGGAGTGGTAGACTTATGAAGAGATGCTTCCTTTTGTTAGAGCTTAACTAAGGTTCTGTAAATTGGTCTGAAAAATAATTTGGTTTCTAAAATGCCACTGAAAATTCGAATAGACTCTCTGAACCATATGTAATGGGACTCAAAAATCCTAAGAAATGATAGTTATAGAACCAGACACCAAAAAGAAACTCTAAAGTTCTGGATTGTTCCTCCGTGCTGCCAGACACAGGCAATGGGGTCCTTCTGGCCCCCTGACAGGACAAGGTGCCCCCTTGTTCTCTCCTCAGCCCCAATCCCAGGGGCGAGCGTGGAGCCCAGGGCTTGGCCCTGTCCCTGTAGCTGCTCATGTTCCGCAGGAGCCGGGGAGCTGCCTTGACTCTGGGCATCATCCCACCTCCTCCACACAAAGAGGGCACCGGCCCTGGACAAGAAGGGACCCTACACCTCTTCAGTGGCGAGAGCTCTCCCATTTCCCACCCAAGAAGACCCCCTCTCTCCATCTGGAATGTTTTCTCTACCCTCGCACTCGCACTCCCTGGCCTGGCAAATTGCTCCAGCTGGCCAGGACCCCTCTTCTGGGAGGTCTCTTGACTGCTCTCCTCCCAGAAATGGCCCCAGCCTTCAGGGTTTCCACTGCCCCTGTGCTTCCTGGAACGCCACCACTAATTCTTCAATGCTCCTTTTTGCTTTCTGCACCAATTTCATCTACTAGCCCATGAGTCTTTAAGAAGAAAAACCTCAGTTTGTACCTTCTCAAGATTTAACCCAGAGCCAGGCACAGAACGGATGCTTAAGAGAGGTTTCAGTGAATGAATGAATGCAAACCACACCCAGAAACACAAGTATAGTATATCCTCCTCCTTCCCCTGCAGGAGGATAGCAGATCCCAGGGCTTATTGTGCCAGAAATGTGGAAATGAAGAATTGGTAAATCAGCTCCAGTGAAATCTTGGGCCTTTGGGGATGCTCTTGGATGCCATGAGCAGCAGGAGAAGGGGTTGCCTGACAGCCTCTCCCGGACCCTCACCACCAGCAAGCGGCATGGTGAGGCTGCCCGAGTATCCGGCCAGGAGCACAGCATCCTCAGGGCAGCTGCTGAGCTGCAGAGAACAGTGGGCAAGAGGACTCCACCTCCCAAGGCAAAGCTGAGCAGGTCACACTCCCATTCAGACACTGCTGCAGGACTCCGCAGTCCACAGAAGAAAGGCCTGGCTTATCAGCTCAACAGCCACCGAGCTTCATGGGAGCTGTCCCCACACTCAGGGCACATTCTCATCCACCCCTCTGACAGGCACCTTCACCACCTGCCTCAGTGGGCCTCTCCAGGTTCACCTCCCTACCACAGCCTACCCCAAATGTTAGGCAGGAAGATAGCTGTAAGCGGGGAGGAAAGAGAGTAAGGCCAGTAAAGCCCACTATAAGACACTCAAAATGTTAACCAGTTAAAACTAGAAACTCAGAAAAGACCCAGAGTTAATGAATTAATCAGTTAAAGCTCAAAAGGCCAGGAGTAACTTGGCCTGGAATATTTGAATATCCCCAGATAAACAGAAGTATCTGAGCACAGCCCATCTTCATTGTGTCAATTAGATCATGCCACTGCAAGATTTACTTTAGCCTGCTAAAAGGCCCAGCTATAAACAGCATAATAAAGACAAGAGGATTCCACCTTAAAGCTAAAATTGCATTTTAAAACCCAAGAAGTTAAGAAGTAAGATTCTTAACATATTCCTTAGCAAATGGACAATAACTCAGCCCCCAGTGGAGGCAGATCAGGCAGTCCTGATTGATAGGCTCCCAGACCAGGAAGCTGCTATCCTGGGAGGGAATCAGAGCAGTAAACTTCTTCTGTTAAGCTAATTTTGCAGAATTACCTGGAGGAATGATAGAAACTTAAGTGTCTCATCAAAGATAAACATCTTGAGACCACTTAACAAGTCCACACCCCTAGCCCTTTGTCACATTCCTGAAAAACCCTTAAAAGGGGGAACCCCCAACCTTTCAGTGTGCACCTCTCTCTGGAGTCACCCACACTTTCTGAGTGTGTAACCTTTTGCCTTAAACTTTTTCTCTCTTTAAATAAAACTTAAACCTTTCAAGGCGCCTCTCCCCCCTGAGGTCACCTATACTTTTTCTCTCTTTGGGTAACTTTAAATAAAACTTTTACTCTGTTGCATTACTGTGTCTCTGCCCTTCAATTCTTTGTTGTGGCGGGGACAAGGACCAAGGAAAATACACAATGCTGCCCCCTAACACAGAGAGCCACCGTGTAGTGACTCACAGCTTAGCCCTGTTCCCTACATTAAGACAGCGCCTCTCATACTCCTGGCCTTTGCACATGGCTTCCCTCTGCCTGAAATGCCTTTTCTCGATTCTTTACCTCAAGAACTCCTTCTCATCCTTCAAGACATATTGCAAGAGTGTCCATTTCCATGATGCCTTTCTTGGCTCACTCTTCTCTTTTCCCACTACCCCTGGTTTGCTACAGCACTTGCCATAAGGAATTATAATCTGTGTGCTTACATCTGTCTGTAAGTCTGGAGACAGGAAATCCCAGGGCAAAATACTTCTAAAACCAAAATCAGTCAAAGGGAGAAATAAAGTTTAAAATCCGTTTATTGCTTACAAACTGCAGTCTGGGGCCATCTCTTTCCTGCTCCAGCAGAAGCAAAACCAGCACTCCCCCTCACCTCTCAGGTTCAGATAAGCCCTTCCTTGCCCAGGTAATTACCCACTGATATGGAGATGAACTTGGCTCCACCCCTGAGGAATGCCTATTGATATGCAAATTAACCAAAGCCAGGCAAGATAATCTAGAAATGTTACAATTTTACCCACACAGTCTCATCCCACTAGACCCAGAGCACCTTAGTGATAATATCTGCCAATACCTGACAGCTTGTTATATGCCAGGCACCAGGCCAGCCCCTCACCCTTGGAGTTGGTCCTCCCAGCCCTCTATGGAGTGAGTGTTGGCTCATCCAATTTTACAGATAGGAAAACTGAACCTTGCAGAGGTTAGAGAGCTGGTCTAGGTCTAAACCCTGTCCACCTGACATAAAAGGTCTCCTTGAAGGTAGAGGTCACATCTTATTCCTCTTCCTCCCTCCAGCACTGCATTTGGCCCACAATATGTGCTCAAAGAAAAGGTGGAAAGCTTCAGTTACACAGGAGGAATAAGTTCTGGAGATCTGCTGGCTATACCACATTGTGCCTGTAGTTTATAATACCATTTGTATAACTAAAATTCATTAAAAGGGTAAAGCTCACATGGTGTTCTTACCACAACAATTTTTTAAAAGCTTTGAGAGAGGAAAACAAGGTGGGAGAAAGGGTCATGGGTAGCAGAGACAGTGTAGCATCAGGCACAAGTGAGCCTTGGTCACCAAATAACAAGTTATCAGTCCCACAGCCCAGCCCCCTGGGCCACTTCCCAGAATGGAGAGGCCACAGAGCTGAGGTGTCCGACACAGTGGGCAGGGAGGAGACAAGTCAAGAGACCAGTCCCGTTCCTGCTCACTCCAAGACAGAGGTACTGAGGGAGAGTGGGAGCAGGGTAGTCCAAGTCTGAAGCCCCACCCACATTTCCTGGCCCCAGGGAGGTTTTGCCTGGGTTGTCCACCAAACAAATATACAATACCCAGGGCAATCAACTCCATCTCCCACCCCCATCCCCTTCCCCACCCCAGAGCCAATCACTGTTTGTATCACCATCACACACGCCCTAAATGGAGCCCCTCTAGGAGTTTTCTCCGGTCAGCAGTGCTGGACCCTGAGGCCAGAGTCCTAAGAACTGAAGCTGAGCTCTAGTCTGAACCCTCTGAGCTTAGGCCTGAACCCTCGCATAAAGAGGCAAACGGAGATTTTCTTAGGAGGATCAGCAAGCTGCGCCACACACTGCCCTGCAGAAGGAAGGGGGACCCCTCTGGATTTCCACAGACAGGTGGGCACAGGACTAACAGGTAGAATACCGTGACTCGTGAACCACAGCTACTCCTGCTGGAGTCCCTGTGCCCTTCCTCTGGGGCAGGGGTAGTTGGTGGGGGACACAGTACTTACCTGTGCCATGTCTCTTCTTTTCCCCTGACTGCTTGATCCAGTCTCTGGCCTTGTAGATGTGAAATAACTTCAGGTCCTCCTCATCTAAGGCAATGTCTCCCCAAAAGACAGCTGGGAAGAAAAAACATAAAAGGGTCAACTTAAGCTGGAAGTCAAGAAAAAAATGGATTTACTAATGTCCCAGTGGGCACTGGATGTTGGGCAGCAAACGCTGGAAAAGAGAGTCCATCCAGCCAAATTTCTCCACAAACTTAGGACATGGGGCTGATAAAGAAAGAGGAAAAATAGATAATAATGCTGTGCATCAGAGCCACAGACCTGTGGCCAAGCACCATGAAGATCAAAGGCTTAGGTCTGTAGGGAATTTTGAAAGGTTACCCTGCTATGTGCCCTTTTCCCAAAGCTATAAGACAAACAAACAATATACCAGAAATAGGCTGCTCCATCAGGCTGGGACACAGTGCAGGCAGTGTGGAGGAGCTGACCTGGGAAGAACATGTAACATGAGACACAAACTTCTGTGGTTTTAAACCACCAGGACTTGGGGATTGTTTATTACTGCACCATGATCTATACTATACTGATTGATACATATAATATAATCAGTATAGATACATACAGTATAATCAGTATAGTGATTGAAAAATGAGCTGGGTTCATATTCTGGCTCTGAAACTTAGTAGCTCTGGAACCTTGGACTAGTTACTCAACCTCTCTGAGCTGCAAATGATTCATCAGCAAACAGACTTAATACTGCCCATTCTGTAGACTGGTTGAGAAAAGTGACATTTAATTAAAAATGTAAAATTTTTAATTAAATGAGATCATATGTACGTATGTGTATACATACACCCACCCCCCATTATGGCCTTAAAATGTCTATTTCCTCAATAGACTATATACTCTTTGAGGGGGAAAAAAATCCCTGCAATTTGTGGAGAAATAAAGAACTAAGCCCTGTACTTGACACATCACAAGTACTTTCTCTGCAGTGTTTAAATATCATTTTAAAAAATTTGAGACCCAAGTAATCGAGCCAAAGCCATCCATATTATAAAATATATCAATTGAGACTCATGTTCTTCACTGACACTTAAATATATTTCTAAATGGGAGTTTCCCAGCTCTCCATTCTCCTTCTATGTACAGCCATAAGTCATCAGAGGCTTTAAAAAGAAATGAATATGCAAAAGAATAAAGTTGGGGGGTGGAGCCAGGATGGCGGCATGAGTAGAGCAGTGGAAATCTCCTCCCAAAAACACATAGAGCTATGAAAATATAACAAAGAAAACTCTTCCTAAAATAGAGACCAGAGGAGACAGGACAACATTCAGACCACATCCACACCTGCAAGAACCCAGCGCCTTGCGAAAGGGGTAAGATACAAGCCCCGGCACTGCGGGACCCGAGCGCCCCTCCCCCCGG